ACTGCTGAAGGGAGCAGTGGGCAAGACAGGAGAGGTCTGCTCCTCCATGTGGGCCACCTCCCTGGCCAGGAATGAAACTCCTGCTACAGTGTGTGCTTCAGTGGCTGCCAATAACTTCATAGCATGGAGACTTAACCCCTTGTGCCACCAGGCAGGCCCCCCATTTTTAAACAAGCATTCCCTGAGAGGTCTGAGAAAACTCCTTCAGGGCAGAGACCTTGTCTGTTTACCCCTAGCCCAATGCTTGGTTCATAAAGACATTTTGAAAAATGTGAGGTTATCTTTGGATCTATTTAACATTTGCTAAATTCCCTGGAAAGAAACATGAAATGTTAAGAAAGTGCATACAAGGTAAAGGATAGTTATGATCCATCCTACAAATAAACATCCTCATTTGCTACAAAGTTACATGCATTTTATTATTTTGAATAACAAATATCCATGCCTTGCCTTCACCATCACTGCAACAACATTAATCAAAGTTCTTTAGCTCTGTGGTTCAGGATCTGGGCACTTGGTGTGAATTATCTCACTTAGTCCTCACAACAACCCAGCCTTCTTTTATTGATGATGAAACTGTGTCAAATAGGTCACCAGAGCCTGGAAGTCTGTTATAACCTCTATAGGTCTGTCAGTTTCTGGCCCACAATCTTGAAAGATCTTATTAAGTATTCCTAAGTGGAGAACATCCTGTTTTATCAACTCTGGCTTTTCAAGCGCAACTCCCTCAAGCTAAACTTGGGTCTACCTAAGGCAAGATAGATTAGTTGATGTTGGACACCACCGGTCTAAACCAGTTCTCTGACCTTTTATTTACAAGATGACTACCCATTCCTCCAGGTTAAAAAAGATTCCCTCTGTCCCTCTTCAAGTGAGAGCCTCAGAGGGTCAAGGCTGCCCCTTTCCTCCGTCTTCTCCCTACAGATGGCTGGCATTCTCACTGGCAAGCTATTTCTTCATAATATTATTGAAATATAAAGTGAATTGAAACCTGAACCTTGGGTATGACTTGTCACCATGGAAACAACTTCAAGCCTGAGTGCCTCCAGGAGCTGTCGAGCTTTTCTTCCAAAGGATCTGGAAACATGGGACTAGAAGCTGGAGAAAGCTAAAACAAGCTCCCATTAGGTTAGTGGCAGTTTTCCTAATAAATACAGAATGCTTAACATTGGATTATGTCATCAGCAGCCCTATCAAACTATAGTCTCAATTTTCAGTGGTGCACTGGCTTAGTGCAGAACTACCAGTCAAGTGAATGATAGCAAGTCCCCCTACTCTTGGGAGGGTCATTTAAAACTCCATTAAGGTGGTTCAAAGAATGTGGTAGGGAAAAAGTACAAACAGTAATAAATTTCAAGAACATTCTGTAGAAGCATTTTTTTGCTCCTGGGAATGGGAAACCAAGATTTTTCCCAAGAGACTCCATTATTAAAGCCATAAATAAAACATCCCTGATTTGACTCTTTGGTTTCTGTACTTCGGAGAAGTGGCTCAGAGGTGGAGGCAGTGGTCCAGGGAGGTTGCAGGGGGAGTGAGGCTGAGGCCATTCTGCTTCCTCTGCCATTTGTTGCCTGCAGAGGAGACCACAATATGAGGATAATGCAAATATTTTACTTTGCTGAAGATCAGCAAAGAGGGTTACTCTAAACATTTCAAGCAGGATCCTAAAATTCAAGGATGTTTTTCTAGCTGACGCCCTTCCTTTTTTCTTTCTGTAAATGCACACTCTAGAAGGTAAAGCAAGCAGGGGATGTAAGGCCAGTAGTCTGACTGCGTAGGTGGCCTGAGCTCCAGGTCCACGTTGGTAAATTATGTGGCTCATGACCAAGAGTTGGTCATTAACCTCCCAGTGTCAGTCTCCTAGTAAAGGTGGGTTAGAGGGATGAATGTTGGATACCGAATACCCTATGTATGTCATCTACTCACTCAGCAAAAATGGATGTAATGTTACTCGCGAACGTCTATTTGATCTGGACATTGGACTAGGAGGATTATGTGAACATCATAATCTGTGTGGTTGCTGGTATCCACACTTCACAAATGATAGAAACTAGTCCTGAGAATTGAGTTCCTCAAAGTGATCAGTGTGTAAGCATGCAATTAGCCTCAAATACCCATCTATCCAAGTATAAAGACAACTTTCTTTCCACTTGACCTTGTTAATTTCTGAGCTTGAGATAAATCATTGACAAGATTTTAATTTGAAATAAATATAGGCTAAGTTCTAATAGAATGCACTAATACCTTGTAAAGTTCAATTTCTAAGTATCCCTTTACTTATTAAATGATCCCACATCACTTGGGAATTGGAAGTATCTTCATGTGACATGAAGCCAGGAGTTACCCCCACTGGCTCCATAGAGATATTGCCATGTTTAGTTACTAATATTGTGGGCAATTTTAAAAATCAGTCTGAACTAAAAATAATATTTTTTCCCTTTAAAAGTAATATGCAATCATAGTACAAGCAATCAACAGGCCTGAAATCTTGTAAAATAGTTACAATTTTAAAAGTTACAACAACTTTTCTCAGTTCTAAGCTTGTAGGTTGCAATGGAAAAGCCAGGATTTCCATTTCATGAAAAAAGAATAAAACATGAGAGAATAAAATAACCATGGCATTTTGGGTGTGTGCTTAGTCAGATCTGCCAGAAAATTTCCTCTTTAGTAGTTATTCCTGTTTCCTGAGTGGCCGGCTGGGGCCACAGATAGGGTTGTGAATTTCGGAATCAGAACAAAGGTTTAAAAATCCCCATCTCTTCCATGGTTATATTATGCATTCTGAACCTCACTTTCCTTTTCTGTAAAATGGGGTTTTTTGCTTCACATGACTGTTGGTGAAATTTAAAAATTTATGTACATATAGCGAATATAATAGTCCACTCCACTTCCAGTTCAAGATCTGAGCAAATGTATAATAATCACTCCTTGTCGTGTGCCAAGCTCTGGGCTAGGCTCTTTCAAAGATGATCTTTTTATGAAGCACTAGGATTTTAAACCACTGCTCTATCTGCAGTTTGCCCTGCTTTAGACACGAGCCATTGATTGGGTTCAGATTAAAGGATTTATGAGCAGTTCCTTCTGCAGGAAACAGCTGCCTGTGAGGGTCAGGGCTGATGTGGCAGTGTATTTGGCTAACAGAAATGTGGGCCATCTATAACGCTTTGTTCTCCCATTGGGCACAATTAATACCACCCATTTTTTTTTTCCTCCCTAGTGTTAAGTTCCTGAGTAAGCTAGGCTCATAATAGATGTCCAAAAAGTACCTGTTACAAAAATAATAAACTGATCACTCATGATGTAGCCACTTACCTTATGTAGAAGACATTTTCTGCTAACCTCTACTACATTCTACTCTTAGGGATTATAATACAGGAAACGGTTTTTTAATTGTTAGTACTTCCACCATCCACATTTATTCCATGTCTACCGAGCATTATTAAACAATTGTCTACTACTGAGGCAAGGAATAATTGTATGTATAACCCACTAGAGTATTAAAAAGCAAAAGAAGTCCAATGTATATTCATGTATGGAATCCATCATTTTCAGGCAGCACTCTTTGTGGCTTTATATTGATTTTCTATTTTGCATCCCCTGAATCCTTACTAATTAAGCAGTCAAGGAGTTGGTGCTTTCCTTTCATTTCCCCGGGCCTAGTCCATCTGGAAAGCTACTGTGGGGCCTAAGAGCTTGAAAGGATGGGCATCCCTAGATTGCTGGTTTGAAAGTAGTAGTCTCCAACAGGAGTTATCTATTCTCTCCTCCCTGTCTGCCAAAGGCAAACAATGAATTAACAGGCATATCCACTGATGCTAAGCAGATCAGGGGAAGAAAATATACTCAAGGACAAATAAAAGTCAACATCAGCTTGGCCCCAAACAGACAAGTAAAAATTCATGGGAAATAGAAAGTATTTTACAGGGAATGGGCTTTGAAAATACCACCTATGTGAAAATACAAATACACGTCACTTGTATGGTTTCCTTATCATTTTTCTTTGCTGTCTAAGCTGCCTACACATGATAGAGGCAAGTCTTTATAAAAAGTACTTAATATTGTATAAAATGATGTCTAGGGCCCTCCCTGGTGGTGAAACAGGTTAAAGCACAGCACTATGAAGCTAGCTGCAGCCACTGCAACACAAGTTCGACCTCTGGCCAGGGAGGTGACCCACATGGCATAGCAGACCTCTCCTGTCTGGCCTGCTGCTCCCCTCAACAGTGTATTTCACTAGATCTTCCTGTTCTGCTTTCCACTCTCTCTGGTGAATCCTTTCACCCCCACACCTCTGGTCTGTACCCCATTTCTTGAATGCATCAATAAATATAGCTTTAAAAAATGATGATGATGCAAAAATGTTTAGCTGTGAAATAAATGAAAGCACCAGAATATAAACTTCACTTCTGTGACTGGCTACACAAGACTGCACAAGGACAAAAGTAAAGTTCATTTACTGAGACTGATTGCCTCTCCCAGTACCTGGAACCTAGTAGATATTCAGTAAGTTTTTGTGAGAGAAGACTTGACTGTCCATATACTAAAATGGAATGTATGTCTCCCTTCTTCCTTGTTAGCTATTATCCAAGATAATGCTGCTCACAGCTCTTTCCGACAGTCGTTTTAATTTTCTCCTTCCCTTAGTGTACTCCTATTTTCACCAGAGAAATTAGTGCAAGCTCAAGCTCCCTTAGTCTAATAATATGGAACACATTAGGTAGAAGCCAGAAATGTCACTCATACATTCTGATATTTAAAGCCAGAAGACAGGTTTGTAGATTAAAGTAGGAGAGCTGGCTTTTACTCATCAATTGGCCAAGTCCTCAGAGAAAATAACCTGTAGGGTCTCAGCTGACAGATCTGAAAATGATATACAGATGACCACCTGTATGCCTCTCAGTTAAATGTTGAAATGTCAAGATGAAACATGCTAGATCAATCAAGAGAAGAGCCTTCCAAAGAATATTTGAAAACTTTATTTTCTCAAATGAGCACCAACACAGATTGGAAATATGACAGAAACAATGTACTTTTCTCTAATACTGAATTACTATATACAAATATAGGAAAAAAATGAAAACAAATTACTTGAAAATAATTATCTTTGTTATTGAAGCAAAGTGACCTGAAAAATGCCACCCTCCCCCAACAAAGTAAAATAAAATAACAAAACCCAAACCCAACAAATAAGTTTGTAAACACAAGCATAAACAGACAGATTCTGTATTGAAAGATAGTCTCTGCAGGTTGGGAAAGGGGAACCAACTCTCACTTTAACCAAAATGTTAAGAGAAAAACATAGGGGGCAGCTAGAATTTGGTAACATGAGAATAATTTGTTTCTTCTTGGTGTTACCTTTCACTGCTGACGGACTTCATGACTTTAATTTTTAAAATTACATCTGTCTTTCCTCTACCTAGGCCACTAGCATGTTTTCTCATCTAAGGCAGATACTTTTAAAATGCTGATTGTGTTCAAGATTTGATTTCACAGCCCCTTCCTGAACCTGGGAAAATCTGATTCTCAAAAAAAAAAAGCTGTAACTTGTTTTACACCTATAAGGTATGCGTATCACTTTTATTCATCTTTTTAAAATCCAAACCAGTTGATTTTTAACATGATGTAATAGCTATAATAGCTGGAGGCTGGGGTGTACATTCACATTTCAGAAACGTAATTTGACTCCGCTTGATCTTTACGAACAACAGATTTCCATATGGTCTGCAGAAGTTGAGCACACAAAGAAAAAGGAACAAACTGGCAACAGTTCCATGCGCAAGAAAACAATAATTGTGGTTTATGCTGTTGGTCCGCTCAGAAGCAAAACAGCCAGAGAGAAAGAAGAAAAACTTATGTGCCCAAGGTGTAAACTGTAGGTAGAGTGTCCCCAAAAAGAAAAACAAAACTAAACAAAATAGGAGGCACAATTCAAGATGCTATACACACATACACACGCGCTCTTAAAAAAAATAAAGTTCTAATTTGTTGGACGTTCTTCCAACAAAAGGAATCTAAATTGTCACTAAATTTGACTTTAGTGAATATATTTTCTAGCCAATACTGGTGCCAGAAAATATTTCAATTTTCATCTTGGTTAGGTACTGCAGAGTCTGTTTCATGGGGGAAAAAAGTGCAGGGAGGCATTGCTTTATAGTCTCCATCCAGACTAAAATTATACAGATCTTCTTTAAAAAAGAGTATATTGGTGATCACTGTTTCCCTTAAAGTATACTTCAAGAAATGCAGAGGAAACCATAGCATTTAAAAATCAAAATAAAAAGTGCTCTCAGGAGATCTGAGAAAACAGCACCAAATATATTATTTAAAAAATTAAATATTATTTACAAAAGTATATTTCACAAGCAATTGTTTCTTTTATATATTTCCACTTGAAAATCTTTTTATAAAGGGGACACCTTTGTCACACACTGAAACACCAGTAAGATGGACTCTACCCTGTCTGCATGTTCCTACTGTCACAGGTGTTGGGGTAGCACTCAGTCAAGTCCAAATGACACCCTGTGGGGCACCACATTTGGCTGCATTTGATTCAAGTCAAGTCAACCCATCAGCAGACCAAGATGAATATCCTGGGGGGTCGGGTGTAATCCAGGGCAGCCAAGGGCATATGGCCGAGGGTGGCACAGGAGAGATGAAACTAGGGAGTCTGCCAGCTGGACTTCAGTTAAAAATGAAGGCAGCTACTGGCTGAGGTATAGAACTTCACGCCTTTCCCTTTCTCATTTCTCCCTTTCCCCTTCTGTACTCCCCACACCCTGCCTAAATTCTACCATCAAACTCAATTCTGTGAACCTATGGGGGAAGTGGGGTGAGGTCTTTGGTTATGCTCTGAGTCAATAATTTGGTGAGGAAATTAAAGAATGATCTGACTGAGGACAGGAATTCCCATCGAGCAGCTGTGGTCTCTCTATACCGCGAGACATCAGACAAGCCATAAATGAAGCTTAGGTTGTAAGGAGCACTTTTGGTTTCACTGACACAATGGGAAAGCCTAATGAGTCTTCTATTTTCCTTACAGTTATGGAAAAACCAATGCTTTACTGAGATCCCTTGCACCGAGTGTGGTGCCAGGCACCCACTGGACGCTCGGTGGACAGTAACTGAAAAGTAACAGAACCAGGGTCTAACTGATAGGTGCTCTCGTCCATGCACTGCTCAGAGAGGTCCCACTCCCAAAGAACAGTGGCACATTAGTTTCCTCTGCCCTTGAAAATTCTAGAGCACCCCATGTCTGGTTTCTGTGTTACCACAGTTTAAAGACAAAACACCAACCCGTGTTTAGCAATAGCCAGGACGTACCCTGAGCAAAGGGGCTAATCAAGATGAAATCAAATGAAAGCCACTACCTTCTGGGTGAGAGAAGAAAATCCATGATTTCCGTGCTAGCAAACCAACATAGGAATGTTAAAGTTGAAAATGTTTTGCTGTTTTGTTATCTATCTATCTATCTATCTAGATATCTTGGGTCTGGGAGTCAGAGGAACTGTTTCTCTGGGAGCAAAAATGAAATACTTCTGAACCTCATTTCACTTTTTAGTCATGCAGAGGGGATTTTTTTTTCTCCCTGGGCTACTAAAGCACCAAAGATGTGGGCAAGAAGCCGTTGGGAACCAGCCCTGATCTCTAAGACTCAGTCTGTCTCACAGAGGCAGCTACTGCTAAACCTGCAGCTACCCACTTTCTGTCGGTCTTGCTGTCCTCCCACCACTGGCAGGGAAGGACCTTGTCCATTTCGAGCCCTCCAATTTTCAGTGAGGGCCCAGAGACACAAAAAGCAAAAAGGAATTTCCATCCTGGATTCATTGAACTTAGTTCAATTCTGAGGATGTCCTAGTTTTGCTACTTCAATCTTGGTTAACCAATTTTACAGATTCTTTTCTCTATGGACTTTTTGGGTGACTTTTCCTATAGGATCAGACTATTTGGAGAATGAGATGCTGAGAATTATCTAATGTATCCTACATACATCTTAACAATAGTAATATATTTAGTCTAAGCAGTGAAATGAACTCAGTTCAATGATTTTGGGTCATGCACCATAAACTGGCTGAACTGCTCTATGTAGAACAGACTTCACAGTGTTGATTAAATGTAACAAACTCCTCTCTCATGAACCTTACCAGGGATTTGTTTTCCAATTCCCTAATAAGATGAACTTTAGATGGGAACACAGGGTGTGGAGGGAGGTCAATACTGGAATTCGTGACTTTAAGTTTGATATCAAACCGATCCCTCACTTCATTTCCAGGACCACACTAACAGATTTCTTTCCACACAAAGCATTTAAGCCCAAAGAGAACAGCTAGGGACATGAGGAGCCTATCTGCCAGGTTACCACTAAGCTCAAAACCTTGTGACTTTGTTTTCCACAATCTATAAAGAAATAACTGGAGAAAATGTACAGAGAATCGCTGATCACTGCATACGAAGGAGGAATGATGCACCTGGTCTGTAATGGTTCAAAACTAAACTAATCCCAGCATCACCCCACCCACCCCCTTCCTTGCCACACAATGTTCTCCTCTTATTAAGAGTCATTTTTTTAAGGGCATAATTATTGGCATTGTTAACTGCTTCTGCTTTTCTTTTTTCCTGGCCCAACGTCTGTGCCATTTCTACAGACTCCCAAACTGCAGCACCCTTTGCTCCCTGTTCTCCTCACTTACTGATTTTACTTAGTTGTTGGTCAAAGCCTTTGGGATGCTTGGATACTGTACCCATTGCAAATGACAGTCCCCTCTCCTCTCACCTACAGTGGCCAGAGAGGCAAAGATCACTCAGAGGGGCAGGGAGGCATCAGAGTGATCGAAACCCATTTGGAGCTTTTCTAAGTCACTCATTGCGACCAGGACACTCCCCAACTCAGTAAAGGAGAAGCAGGCTCCTGTCCCACCAGCTACTAGGGTCACTTCTTGTGCTCATTTGCTAACCTGGCACATGTGGTGCCAGGAACAGAAACTTCTGATCAGAGAGAAGGCAGTCATGAGGTATATTTTTCTCTTTGTCCTTTTAGACAAGTCGATTATTTCAAGCCTAAGTTACCAGGTTTCCAGGAGCAGCACAATTTTGTTCCTCCTCTACCTTCCCATCCCTGCCCACCCCGGGACCCTTAAGGTTCCCCCCTTCCCCTCTTCTTCACACCCCTGTGCTGTGCCACTGCTCTCCTGACAGGAGGTCTTCAAGCAGCTCTTGCATGGGGCCTGAGCCCTATCAAGGTAGGCTACTGCCATGCGGTCAGGCATCTGTTCCTTTTGTTGTTTTGTTTTCAGCCAACACAAGAACAGAGAGAGAAGCCAGGATCAACTCACAAACGGATACAAAGCAAAGAGACAGAGAGACGGCGATTTAGAGGCCGGTCACCAGAAAGATGGTGTCAGGGTGGGAAAATGCCCAGATGGCAAGGCCCCTAAATGGATGGAACCGAGTGTTCAGTCACTCTCTCACGCTTGGGTAGAATGTTCAGTTGGATGGTGTTCACATAGACACTGGGCTGGGCGGGTGTTCTCCAATCAGTCCCAGCCATTGTCCTTGATCATGTGTGCTAGCTCAATGATGTATTTGCCTTCTTTATATTTCTGGCTGCTCTCAAAGGCATGCTCCTAGGAAACAATGAAAGAGAAAAAGACACTTAATGGCCAGAGATAAGCAGGCGACTGCAGCACAGGAACAGGGGGAGGAAGGGCACCACTGAGGTCCTCACCCAGCTTCACCCAGACACTGAGAATTCCCGCCACTGAAGCCCACTGTGCCCCCAGCTTTACTACAGCACCAAGGCAATACCAGGACTTTCTCAATCTTTATAGTGGTATATAAATGTCTCTAAATTTAAATATTATGAATATTTTCCCAATATTTAGAATCAGTTTCTTCAGAATCTTTCCTCATTCCATTCTTTTCTCCCCCACACCCTCTTCTCTCTCTTTTGGCTTTTTCTTCATTTCAATCTGCCCAAACATTGCCATCTCAGTAAGGTCTTTCCTGGCTACTCCACATGAAATTTCAATTTCTACTGCCATCCTCCCGCCTCCATCCTCTTTTCCTGTTCTCTCCGCAGCACTTATCACTACAAACATCATACCTTGCTTATCTATTTTGTTTATTATTTGCCTTCCACTACTAAGTTATGATCCTCATGGAAGGCAGAGATTTTCATTTGATTTCTTCACTGCTGTATCTCCAGACCCTAGAAGACTATTTGGCAAACAACAGGTCTTTATCATAACTGATGAATGCATGAATGTGTATGTACACACACACAGAGTCTCTTAGGGGAACTTGGTTTCTGACACTAACCAGAACCTGCCCTGTGGATGTATCTGTGAAGTCTGTGTGCCATTTCTGCTTATTTCCAGGAATGCAGGTAAGTCTGATAATACTAAATAATATTTTGTAAGGCATATATAAGGAAAAAGAAAAATATCAGATTTCCCTTAGAGATGGAATATAGGGGAACCAAATAAGGGATCAGGACAACAAAAACAACAAAATTATCAGACAACCTACCTCAGAGACAGTCTATAAGGTAGGGAGATGGCAAGGGATCAAAACCGGGGAGAGAAAAATCACAAGGGACTATGGGGACAGTTCATAGCTGAATTGGTTGTGGGAATTTTATAGGGATCACACCTAAGAAGAGAAAGCATACAAGCATACATTGTATAAAAATGAATAATGATGTAAAAGATATAGATAAAATATTTTGTTAGGCTTAGAGAAAAGACACTTGGTGAGAGAAATAAAGTATTCTGAGACCAAATAGGTTTCCCTTTTATTCCATTTATCTTGCTCTCTTTATGTCAGATGTGGTAAGTCTGTTTTTCCTTCATTGCTGGTCTCCAGGGAAGAGTGTCTGAACAATCCGGATGGCTATGGTCCCACCCAGCTATCACCCCTCCGAGGGGAAACGCACTTGGCAGGTTACCCTCTAACCCCAGCACGGTGAGCAGCCCCAGCTCAGCAGCCCACCAAGTCCTGCACGGCACAGGATCAAAAGGTCATTTTATCTATGGACACAGATACACGAACTTATGTTGGTCAATCTCCTGAAAAATACTGGTGTCTGATGGCTGGGCTTGATGTGCAGCAGAGGGCATCCGCCCTTTCTCCTGAGTCTACCACATCAGTGAGCACCTAAATCCAGCTGGCAATGTGTGCTAGGCAGCCCCTGCACGAACCCTATCTTCTGTTCTAGAGCTCGGGGATTTTAGGTTTCAGAACCACTATTCACAATTGAGTCTCCTGTTGAGAGAAGAATCACTCCCCAGAGCAGAGAGGGGAGGGCAGAGCAGGGGCATGGAGAGAGAATGCAAATGCTGCACTCACACAAGAGCTGTGGGCTCAGCAGTATTTTCCCAAACACTTCATTATTCCCCAGCTCTGCGTATATATGTTTACGTGAGGGAGGGAGAGAGGGGGAGAGAAACAGGAGGAGAGGGAGAGGGAGAGAGAGAGCAGAGGTACACTAGTATGTTTGTAACAGGGTGCTCCCCAGGAAAAGGGGTTTCATGTTCCCTGGCCCAACCAGGAGGGTGGACCTGAACACAGAGGAGAAGAATCTGGAGAGGAGACTGAGGAGGATGGAAGCAGGATGGAGAGCCAGGAGGAGGCCTGAGGGGGCCACATGGAGCAGAGAGACATGAGAGGAAACTGTGCTTGCCTCTTGGGCCTGGACTGGGTGAAATGACGTGGGAGAGAGACCCGTGTGGAGGAGGCTCACTATGGCAGCGTTTGTATTGACTCTGATTTTGCTCTTTTCCTCCCAGACTTGTCTGGCCATTCTGACCCTTTTCTATGGGTCAGGTGCTTTAGGCTTATGGGTGGCAGCTTTCAGGCCTTGCTTTGGGCCAATCCCTTTTGGGTGGACTTTCCCCCATGAGGGGACGGTTAACCTTGGGTGTTTGATTTAGAAACTATATTATTTATGTTTGCTGTATTGCACAGTGATTGTATTAAAGTTCCTTTCCATTAAAAGTCTTGTATGTTTTGTCTTGATGTGGTGGATGGCAGAACCTATTTAGAGCAGGCAGGTTTGGGGGTTCAGCTGTGTCCCTATGACTGCTTTGTAACATGTTCAGGGTAGGGGAGAGGGGAGTGCGGGAAAAAAAATATTAGAAAGGCAGAGGGGAAAATTCAACAGCCCCCAAGTCACAGGACACCTGCAATATGCACAGTTTGACTCCAGGGAACAGAGCACTGACGCTTGAGTCTACAGAAAAAACCCAGATTGGTTCCCACTTCTACTGCTTCCCAGCGTCAGAAGCAGCACTTTCCATTTAATCATGTACAAAACTGAGACAATTATACCTACTTCAGGTTCACAGTGAGGGATGGGAGTGAGAAGGCAGCACTTGGCCTGTCGTATGAGGCGACCCGTCGCTGCGTGGGGTGTAGCTCCGTGCTCTGCTCATGCCGCTATACGTGCCCAGCTTTCCTCTCCCTGCACTTGCATCTTTCCTCCCTGGTATTACTGTACACACCCTGGAGGCAAGGACAGCTCTCCCTCACTTCTGGACCCCACGTAAAGGCTTTGAATAAAACTTTGTGAAAGAGTTTTATCAGTAAGAAGCAAAACCATAGGAAAAGATAACCAAGGGGCAGAGAAAGAGAAAGGGCAGCCATTTCTGGAGAAGCAAAAGCGGGTTCTGGTGTCCAGGCCGACAGAGAGGCCAGTGGCTGTTACAGGGGGGCTGAAAGGCCAGTTTTACCCAGAAGGAAATAACCGAGGCAGCCAGAGGAAGCTTTCTAAACCCTGCTGGCTTCGCAAAACAGAGTCTTGTGCTTTCTTTCTCATCCTGAACATTCTAAGGGACACGTGAAAAATGGAATCTAAATACAGTGCTGCTCTACTGCAGACCACCTGCAGGACTTAGGATTTGCACATTTCCCCAAAATTTAGAACCATACTTGTGCTCTATTCAACACATTTTTTTTTGTTCAACATCTTTTCTTAAATAGATTTCATATTTTTAGAGCAGTTTTAGGTTCACTGCAAAAAGGGCTGGAGATATGGAGATTTCCTATGTACACCCTGCTCCCACATACACACAACCTACCCCATTATCAGAATTCTGGAGTGATGCATTTGTTACAGTTAGTTTGTTACCTACAATGACACATTTTTATCACTCTGTGGGCAGTTTTCACTACTCCTCCAGCTCCTTCCAAAGCTAGCTAGAGGCAGCTGACAAGACAGGGAATTTGAGGATCTTTGCAAGAATAAACTGCCCTCCCCACAACAGGATATTTCTGACATTGCTGTAATGTTGCAGGTGGGTAGAGAAAAGAACTGTGCCGTGTACATGCATGCACACACGTCTGCCATTAACAACAATAATTCAGGTTCACTTTGCATTGAATGCTTATCCCTCCTCTCACCCTGGCAAAAGACGACTCACTCTCCAAAGCCCAAAAGTAGATTACTACCACCTGGATTTCTGTCCTGGTTTGCCATAAAATGGCTAGATAACATTGGCTGAGCCATTCTGCTCCTGAAGCCCCATTTTCCTCATGCATAAAATAAAGATTAAAATGACCTCCCCACTGGAGATGCCATGGAGAGTGAGTAAAATAATGCATGGCTGAACACAGTAAGTTGTCAAAGTTATGGTATTAATTACTACTGTGGTGGTAGTGGTGGTGCTTTGTTAAAAGAAAGGTAGCGGTGTGTGCGTATCTTAGAACAGCTGTGAAGGAAAGAGGAGGAAGCAGGGGGTATCAGGAAAACGAAGAATGAGTGGCAGCGGATGAGCGTGCCAGGAATCACTCCTTGAGCTGAATTTCTAGCCTGGTCCGAGACAAGCCACAAGTGCAGGGAACCAAGGAGAAAGCTTCCTCTTGACTTGAGGCTGCCATCCCCGCCTTCTCCCCGCCAACCAAATGCCTCTGTACTTACATATTTCCAGCCCAGAGTGGTTTTGCAGTTCTCACAGTAGATGTCTGCCACTGCATGCAGTCCTGTGAGTAGCACTCGCTCTTCTGCAGGCCCACAGCCCACGTTAACACTGCGCCAAGAGGTAGAGAGAGAGAGAGTGGGCATTAGCCCCATGTCGCCATCAGTCACGGGAGCTGAGCTTCCAGCAAAATATTCACTGAGATCAGCTGCCTCAAGTGATGCCAAGAGAGAAAATGGCATCGTTTGTGGTAACAATCCTCAAGAGGTGGCAAGGAAATATCTCTACTGAACTGAATTTCAGATTTGCAGGTTTTGATTCACTAAGACTAGTGACTTATGGCTGGGACTAGGTATTTTTCTTACAAATGCTTTTAATTTTTGTGATTTGAGATGGCAACTGACAGCCACTCTGAGAAATCCATCGCACAGGTCCTCAGAGTTTACTGGGGACAGAATCTGAATGCAGCCAAAGACATCACACATCATGAGACAGTCTTGTACTGCGCAAGCCCTGGATGTCAAATACACCATCCTCCTCCTCAGAGTGTATATCATCGTCTTAAGTTGAACATGCGAGCTCTCCATTTTCACAGTTCAGCAGGCCTGTGTGAGCTCTGCCTTCCTTTCCCAGGGTAGAGGTTACAGATGATATGCCCAGGGACAACAGAAGGTCATGCCCACTTGTCTTCAGGAGGGGGTGGAGACACTGCATGCACCAGCCTTCACTCTAGCCTTAGGCCCTTCAGCAGATCTTGGTGCTGTTCATCATCTTCTCTCTTTCCCAGTAACATATCTCAGATCTGGTTATAAGCCCTCCATGAAAAGGTTTTCTCAAAACACTCTGTCGTCTTCCTTGCACAACTGGAGCCCCCTGATGTTCCTTCTAGGGGTAATGGACATAGTATTTTTATCTAAGATACACCGCCCCCTAGCTCCCCAAAAAGAACTGGCTACCAGTTGTAGAGACCAATGTTCCACAGTGTTTTTACTATGGCATAGAGGGAAGGGTCTCTGAGTGTTGCTGGTCCCACCAAACAATGGATGTTCCATTCAGAGACACTCACACTGAGTTAAAGAGGTATGCTCGTCCTTGACTTCCTTGGAACGACTGAAATGTAAGAAAACAAATCAATAGTTAGAGATCCATTTTGCCCACCCATTCAGGAAACCAGTCTTAAATGACAATAATCATGACCCCCAGAATTGACACAGCAAAAAGGGCGCAGTGAACCAGTGAAGAGTCCAGCTGGCAGATGGCATGGGGGTGTGGGCAAGAGAAGGCAGAATAAACAGAGCTACAGGGTTCAGGCCCGCCCGTTTGGATTGTTATCACCAGGCCAGGTGAAAAATGATAGGGAAAAGCCAAATTCTACAATATCATTTAAATCTCCTTCGCTTTTTACATCATCTGATGTAACTTATTTATCTCAGATAATCGATCCTCATTTGGCTTTTCATTTTCTGCCATCTGTGCTGGTCACAGCGTTTCTCATGGAAACTAGTACAAACACCTTTGCTTGTCTTTTTGGCTCAGCTCTGCAGAAGACAGCTAAGGACCTCCAGCATAAGAATAAATTGGCAGACTCACATTTCTCACTTGTCTGGTAGATCCTAATTACTTCTTGTAGATCCTGATTTCAGTAGGTCCTCTGAAAGGGGAGCATGGCATCTCCCATTTAGAGATGTAAGCAATGTGACCTCTAACTCATCAGGATACTTATTAAGCAGTAATCCCATTTTTACTTCTAGCTTAAACATGAGCTTCTTTCCTTGGCTGGAGAGTGGCAAGAAGCAGGAGAAACAGGAGCCAGGGCTTGCCATGCAGGCGTCCACCTCCATTAACTTGGGCCCTATCTGTGTTTTCCTCCTCTGGTTACACTGAAACGCCTTAATGACATGAGTCAGTCATGTTCTGCATTGCTGCCTGCATTTTTAATGTGGCATGACAATAGAACCCTGAAGTAAATGTCCTACTCTGCTCTGGAGGAAAAAAAAAAAAAACGACTCTAAAAACAAACAAGGGACTCTCCAATGACCTGTGCTACTCAGTGACCAAGAAGTGTGGGGGCGACTGGTTAACAGTTGACCAAGAGGGTCGGTGAGAACCAGACAAGTTCTCAGAACCAGACAGGACACAGATCATTACACATGAAGCAGTCACTGTTAGAAGCTCAGAGTTTTCAGTATGAGGGCCTCCAGCTGGAGAGAAAGGCAAAATTCTTCACTTGTAGAAACATTGTTTTTGGAACAGCTATATTGTTGGTTGATTCCAACAGTCAAATACACTAGACACTGTCACTCCCTGTGTGGCTCCAAGAAAGAAGCAGATATTCCTCAGCTGCTGCTCAGCCGCGTACCCCAATTCTTGCATTCATTTGGGGTTTGAAACACCCTTGGATAACATGGGAACTCCCAGACTCGAAATGAGCACCCTGGCTCTGTGATGCTATGAGTGTTGAAGCCTTTAATCTTGGAACCCGTGTTTAGGTGCGACAATGTCCCAGTTCCTAGGTTTAGCCAAGGAAGGCCATGGTGGCAAAAGCTTCACAATGTAGCCCCACCAACCACGAGTAATCCCTTCACTTGCTACTTTTCCACTGTGTCCTTTGCTCTAGTCCTAGTCAGGTGGAGCCACATGAAGTTCCTGGAACTTGCATTTCACAACTTTGCCCATGAAGTTCCCCCTGATGGGGAGGCTCTTTCTCCTGGCCAATCATAAGGCTTGGCTCAGCCGCCTCTCTTTCGTAAGGCTTTCTCTGATCTACACAGGAAGAGACACCCATTGGCACCTACGTTCTGGATTCCTCTGGCTCCCTATTTCTTTTCCTTAGCACTTAGCATACTGGAGTGAAATTGTCCAATTATCTAACTCCCTTACTGAGCTGTGCTCCCAGAAGGAATGGACCAAATCTTTAATCTTGCTGTACATAGCACAACAATCGGGCATACAGTAGGCCTGCATTAAATATTAATTCTCTTAGTTGGAATCCTCTAGGAATTGTCCATAATTTCCTCACTCACATTTAGGATAGTTTTATAATTGTCTGTATTTCAAGTGTATACAATTTTTTGATGAGTTTTGACATCTATATAGGCCTGTGAAACCATCAAGGTTATGGACTAATATATACCATATCCCAAAGTTTCCTCATGCCCTCTTAATCCAACCTGCATTTTGTCCAAATACCCTTTTCACTCAAAGATAGTTACTGCCTAATTACATACTGTCACTATAGTTACATTTTCTATAACTTTTAATCTATAACATCATTCAGTATATGCAGTGCTTCTTGTCTGGCTTCTTTTCTGTAGAGTAATTCTACAAGATTCACTCTTGCTGCATATGTCATTAAGCACATTCGGTTGACTCATATTCCATTCTATGCATTTACCAGTTCACTTATTCTGGGTCTGACTTTAATAATGAGTTTGGACAAGTTGACCTCCAAGTCCCCTTTCAGTTCGAAAATCATATCCTCTTATGAATCCGTGGTCCTACATTATAGATAATGGGGATTGTCATCTTCTAAGAAACATTTATCAAAACCTTCAAGTTTTGTACTTAGGAGGAGGTGATTGTAAGGAAAATTCTAGAAGGAAGCAGAGAGGAAAATGCAACATAAAGCTTCATCATTTATTTCTCAAACACTCAGATCATGGTAAGCAATCAGGCATGAGTTGGAAATGCATGGAGAGAAGCTGCATTGTAAGGTATTCCAGGACAGTGGTATCCCCAAAAGGTACATAAGAAACCCCCAGTATAGGGTACAAATACTAGAAATGTTATCTATTTTCACTTAATTTTTGTTTTAACTTAACAGTCCTGATATACAAATTGTCAGTGGGACCCTTCTCGGGTCTTCTATGTAGAGGACATACAGGGAGGCTGGGCCATGGTGTCCTCTACCACTGCTTCTAACATGCCATGGATACTGTTATTTTGAGCTGCAGGATGTCAATAAGGCCGACATATAAAAGTAGGATCCTCAAACAGCATGATCCTTGCAATTCTTTGTAGAATACTACAAAGAAGTTCATTTACAGCAAAGCACTTTAAAATATAAAGGTATGCTGTGTATTTTTCTTTTGCAAAAAGATAAACATTCAAAACTAGCAACTTTTTGTGGCAAAAGTAAATGACAGCAGTATGCTACACTACAATTTCCAAAAAATAAAACACACTAAATCTGTCCCTTAGAGTAAAGGGGCATTATAACCGGGAATGTGAATGTAACTCATTTTAAAAAGAATTAATGCTTTGCAGAGAATTGGCATTTGGCAATGTTTTCATATTTCTGTGATGAATGATATTTAGAAGAAAACATAGGAGGAAAATCTTTGTGACCAGTATTAGAAAAGCTATCTTAGCGACTATACCAGAAACATAGTTTATGAAAGGGAGGGAGAGAGAAGGAAGTCTGCTTAGTAGAACTTCATAAATAAATCTTAAAAAACACACACACTAACTTCATGAAAATTTTCAAGTTTTGGTCTGAAAAGGACACTCTTAAAGGGAATGAAAAGATAAACCATTGTTAAAAAAAAACAAAAACATAAGCCATTGTCTGGGAGAAAATATCTGTAAACAAACCACACATATCAGGTATAGGGTTTCAGAGCCCTATGAAGAACTCTTATGAATGCTAGGCCTCTTAGTGATAAGAAATAAGAGAACAAATGAAATTTAAAAGAATTCTGAAATGGGCAAAAAGACTGAAATAGATTTCAAGACAGATGTAAATAGGCACATGAAAAAATGTTCAGGGCCTTCCTGGTGGCACAACCGGTTAAAGCACAGCACTGTGAAGCTCTTTGCAGCTGCTACAGCACCAGTTCCACCCCGGCCAGGGAGCTGCCCATCTGGCGCAGCAGACCTCTCCTGACCCACACACTGCTCCCCTCAACAGTGTATTTCAGTCAATCTGCCTGTTCTGCACCCTACTCTGTCTCTGGGGAATCTTCTCAGCCCCCACATTTCTGGCCTGTACCCCAATTCTATAGGCATAATAAATAAAAAAAAATCAAAAAAAGAAAAATGTACAACATCACTACTTATTTAAAAGCACAATTAAATCTCTACACAGCTATTAAAAGTTTATAAATATTTTTTAGCTGAAAAAACCAAGTGCTTTCAAGAATGTGTGGCCACTGAAATTCTCATACACTGCAAAATGGGACTGTTACCTTGGATAAGGTTTACCAAAGCTAAATAAAAACCGATGTTCACACAAAACCTGGATGAAATTGTTTGTAGCAGTTCTGTTCATAATCATACCAGACTGTTAACAATTTAAATGACTCCCAATTGGTAAACAGACCGTATACCCATATGATGGTACTCTGCGACAGAAACAGAGCTGACACGACCATGTGCACAGACAGGCAATGCATGCGGCCAGGGGACCAGCAGTGGCAGGTGATCAGTGAGGGAGAATTTCACTAAAAACAGGTAACAGAGACACAGCTTTTCTATTTCCTCTATTCTAGCAGACTTTGTATTTTTCAAAATGCATAGGATTACACAGAGTGAATTTTACTATGTGTAAATTAAAAATAACTTAAAGTCTGATAAAATGTTATCAAGGAGTATTCTCTAAAATTTTCTTTATCTGTGCACTGTATTCTAATACAGGGGGTCATGGAGATTGTTTCATTTATGAGAGAAAAAAGACAAATAACTCAGTGGGTGCTGAATGACAGTTATCTGAGGACCTGGTTTCATTATAGTTTCTTTGACTTAAAGGTTCTTCCCAAAAACCTGTCAATGAAGTGGAGACTCACTGAATTTGTTAAACTGTAGAAATTTGTAAAATTGTAAATAGTTTCTGAATCTATTTAAACATATTCCAAACAATGAGTGACAAACTGCAAAGTTCAGTATAATTTGATGTATGGTCTGGAAAAAGGGATCGTGATTTCCATAAGCTCGAAGTTGCTAATGCTTTATAGTTACTCTACCTTTCTAAGGAAGTTTTCAGCCAGGTAAACTGTTAAAATGAAGTACTCAGCCTTTATGATATCCTTTGAATTGCTATTTCAGAAAGCCAATTATTTTTTGAACAGCATGTTCCATCACATACACCATCAATAAAATAAGATTAAAACCAA